ACCTGTATATAAAAAACGCGCCCTATAGTCCGGTGCGCCTTATGTGTGTGTTAAATACAGAAATGGGACACATAACTGACACTGCGCCTTTTAGTCCGGTGCGCCTTATGGTCGTGAAAATACGGTATTTAGAAAGGTTGCCTTTTTGTAGCTGATTAAAAAAAAATCTAGTGTTGATAAAATCTATAACTAAATTATGATTGTTATACCTTATTTAGCACTGGTTTTCATGTAAACCTTTTAAGATTTATTTGCTATTCTAAAAATGATGTGAACTAAATAAAACTGACAAAATTTCGATAGAGAAATGTATGCACAGACAAAACCTTCAAGGTTTTTGCTGTTCTGTGTGCAGTTTACTCACCATTCCCTGTGCGGCGATGAGAGCAGCCAAGGTACTTCTCCCAGAGGTGCCGGGGGTGCAAAGCGACAGACGAACCTCCTGCCCGCCCACTAGAGTTCGGTCCATCTCAGTCAGCACGGCTTCAGCCTGCTCTGCGCTCTCATACTCCACCACACCAAAGCCTCTCACCGGGCTCCCTTCATCCTGAGCGAGCTGCAGGACGAGACAAAGAAAATGGATTTTAAAGTCACCCGCAGGCAACATTTCTTCAAGCTTTCATCAGGAAGATTTCTGATCTGGTTGGTTTGTCTCTTTTCTTTAATTATTTGGCAAGAACCTCATGCCAGTAATCTACATGCCTAACTTACATGCCCTTTGGGAAGAGGCTTCGCAGCATTCCATGCAAAACCAGCAGATTCTGCAACAGCTTTTCCCCCCACTGCTATCAGACTGCTGAGCTGTTGAAAAAACTCTAAAATCAAGTCACAGACTCTGTATCACACTTTAAACAACTAAACCAAATACTGCATATTTGCACCATATACTGTATATTTGGCCTGAAATGCTCTGAATTTCAATATCAATGCCTTTTGCACCATGTTTTTCTTTTGGAATGGAAATGTTAATTTCACTGCTGAGCTGCTGCTCATTTACTGTCGGAAAGCTGTACAAAACGAAATCTCGTTTTGTATACACTCTGTGTATACGAAATGGCAATAAAAGTTGTCCAAGTCTAAGTCTAGTCTATAGGATCATCCCTAAATCCTTAAAATGACTTACTCCTTATTAATATCAAACAGGTGACATGAAGTGACCAGTAAACGTAACAATAAACCAATAAAAACAACAGCTAGGGTGTAAGTAATTCATTTTGGTGCTGTTTTGACCTAATTTCATCATGACACAGATTTCTTATTTCTACAATCCCTAAATCTCTCCATTGATCATTGGGAGCTTAGTCATGTTTTTGTTTCTTGTAGGTTTTTCACCTTTGATGCACTAAAATTAAAGAAAATTTCTGTCTGACAATTATAGGAACCTCTGATTTAATTTCTCCTGGGGCTTCATATTTTTGTTGTTTGAGGTATTTTGTCGAAAAATTCCTCCAAATCTGATCCGACCAGCCCAGCTGTCCTTTATCAGTTGTACTGCTGTTTTAGCCGTTTATTCTTTTATTTCAGAAAAGTAGTGCAAACTAACATCTTTGTGGTGGTATTGCTGCAGTCAAGGAACAATATATAGTTTAACTATATTTACATTGTTTTTGCACAGCTTGTCATCTACCTGAAAGTTGGTACAATTAATCATTCTGGTATTACCTTTACTCGTCATCACTTTCTGTAAACTTTGGACTGACATCTTTCATTATAATATGTACGAATCTGAAGTATTTTTTTCTATACTGTTAGTACTTTCTTAATTATCTGCATATGTAGGAAAAACATGTCACTTGATGCTTTAAAAGAAAATAAGAGTTGGTAGATAATTGAAGTTTGCTCTAAAACTTGGATGTGCTGACAAAAATAAAAGCTTAAACCATTGCATTTTTTATCTTTTGAGCTAAAGGAGGAAGACAAATTACACAGAATTTAGTATGATCAACCTTTACATATGAGCTCTCAGTTTAACTACAAAGTCCAGTTAGTCTCAGTGGGATATTTGAGAGGATAGCAACAACCAAAAAGGACTAATTTTGCATTGAATAAATGTGCAATGAATGTTTCACAGCCTTTCCAGGAACATAATAGTCATGTAACGCAAAGGAGTTTTCACTACAATGTCCTGCCAAATCATTATGGTGTTAACAGTTGGAGAATTAGCATAGCTTTAACTCAGTCCAAATATCTCAACACCACTCTCATATGTGTACTGATAGAATTCCTAGAAACATTTCTGCCATTTTTCATTTCTATAAACGGCTCTTCTGGTATACTGGGATAATGGGCTCTGCTCCTGAGAGGATTCAGTCAATGAATCTCGGCACAAGTGCTGGATTTCTTCAGTACTAAACCCCTCCCTGCAGAGTTATACAAATCAGATCCTGGCATCCCACACCACAGAGACTGGAATACACATAATAAAGCAGGAATTTTTTTTTAGGTAGAAATCCGAGCAGCGGGAAGCTGCTACAAGGAGAAATAAGCCAGCAACAGCAGCTTGTAGCAGGTGGTTGGAGGATTTAGGCAAGCACCTCATGGTTTGAATGAGTAAGTAATTTGCTTAATATAATCTGACATTAAATAAATGATCCCTACTAATTAGTTAGCTATTTTATACTTGAAAGAATTATCTAAAGCCCTTGTTCCCCCTGAACTGTGAGATGTCTCAGACTGTCCCAAAAGGTGAGTTCAGCCTAAAGCGGGGGTCGGCAACCCGCGGCTCCGGAATCGCATGCGGCTCTTTAGCGCCCCCCTTGCGGCTCCCTGGAGCTTTTTCAAAATGAAAATCAATTTTTTTTTTGTTATATGGTGTGCAGGAGGTCAAACAAGAATTAATTATGTTTTCCAATGCTGTAAAGATTTGTATAACATACATTTAAACAATAATTGGCGTCATAGCCTTAGAGATCAGTGGTCATAACTTGCAACCAGAGTGGCACGGTGCCAGGCAAACAAATAGGCGGGTGTGTCTCGCACCATGGATCCAAAGGGACAGAAGGAAGATAGCTGATGAGAAAAGAGGATTCAAAGAATGGAGCAAATGGAGCTTTTATTATCTATGCCGAAGGATTGCCTGCATTTTTGCTTTGTAATAAGAGGTTGTCAAAAAAATAAAAAATAAAAATTGGAAAGGCATTTCAAGGGAAGGCAGGCTAAATATGCAGCCGACCACCAAGTTGGGAGTGAGAGAAAAAGTGTTTTGCAAATCCAAACTCCACTACTGCTGCCAGTTTCGCTGATAGGATGGAAAATCGTCCACAGATCAAACAGGTAGAGCTCTGATGCAGGGATGGGAACTTTCTTCCATTTTGTTCCCAAATCCTAAAAATATAAATCACACCAGGGAATGCTGGTGACGGAGGATGTGGGACTTCGGGGTTAGAGAGCTCTGCTCTGATGGATGTTAGTTCCTGCTTGGTTCCTCATGACTCAGTCAACTCCTCCCAAGAGAAACATGTCCACAATAGAAAGATTCCTTTATTGTGTTTCTATAATTTCATCAATGCAACAAAACTTAAACCGTGTGGTAAAGGGCGGTGAAGCAGCGCATGGAAAGCGTGAAAGCGTTCACTGCTCCTCCCTCACCTCATGCAGCTATGTGACATTTGCTCCAGGATAAACATTGAATCATGAATGCTTATTATATAAGCATAGACCACTATACGATAGTCCTTTTCTATAGTGGTCTAATACACTTAGACCCCATGTTGCCATACGAGGCATATACAAGACTTTTACATTTTTGTGGCTCCAGACAGTTTTATTTTTCTTTTTTTTTTGGTTCAGTATGGTTCTTTGAGCAGTTTGGGTTGCCGACCCCTGATCTAGGGTGACCAGATGCCCTATTTTTACCACACATGTCCTACTTTTCATACCTAAAAAAAGGTCTGGGGGGAATTTCAAAATCGTCTGGGATTTTGGTCGACTACAGTGCAGCACGTGGTCGAAACACACCTGGCACTGAACCGAGCCGTGAGCTCCGGTGCTGGTCCGGCAACTCCAGCGGACGGGGAAGAGGGAACCAGTGGGGGGACGGAGCGACCGAACACGGCCCGGTGACGGTAGCCAAGGCCTCGTGCACTGTAAGGCAGGCGGGGGAAGCATACTGTCCCCGGGTTGGGTTAGGTTGCTCCGTCACTGCCTGGCTCCGGACCTGGAGGAGCCCCGGAGCTGATGGCTCGGTTCGACACCGGTCCAGTCAGGCTCAGTAAGCAAAACCAGAATGAATCCATGTATAAGGTGCTCAACATTTACCAATGTAAAAAGAAACACGGTATTAAACTGCCAAACTACATGAGCTGAGCTCTAACGTTAGCTCAACAGGATCAGCTCCTCAGACTGGAAGAAAGTGAGAAGAGGGGTGAGAACAGCAGTGAAGATCATCGGGGCTCCTCTTCCCTCATATTAAAGACATTTCATCCAAGCACTGTTTGTCCCGAGCCCGTAACATCATCAATGACCCCTCACATCCCCAACATGCACTGTTCTCCTTGCTGCCCTCTGAGAAGAGGCTTTGCAGCATTCGATGCAGGTCCAGCAGATTCTGCAACAGTTTCTTCCCCACTGCCATCAGACGGCTGAACTGTTGAGGAAACTCTAAATCATGTCACAGATTCTGCATCAAACTGATCACTGAGCATCAAACCAAAATACAGCATATTTGCACCATACATATTTAATGCTCTGAACTTCTGTATCAATCCGTTTTTTTGCACCATGTTTTTTCTTCCACACTGTTTACATTTGATCACTGCTGCACTTTACGGAAAGGAAATGTTCTGAAAGCTGTACAAAAACGAAATTTCTTTTTGTAAACACTCTGTGTATCCAAAATGACAATAAAAGTTTTCTAAGTCTGCTGCAGCTCTGTGTTTTGACCACAGGTACAAATATCATTAAAATACTCTGCCATGCCTCGTTTAGGTGTTTAATAAAAACTTGTTTGTGGTCAAAAACTGATTTGGATTTTTTTCTAAACAGAAATTCACCTTCCTTTTCAGTGTGGATGTTACAAGAACACTAATTGACATTTATTTTATCAAAATCCTTATGACCTTTTTGTAAATAACTGAACTGGTGTTTCTTTTTACCATATCTTTCAAATGCAAAGACCATGTAATCTAATTTTGTTTAAGAAAAAACAATTGTACCATTCGAAATGTTTGGAACCAACATCAATCAAGCTTTAGTCTCATAGGTTCAAAATAACATTGAGTGAAAAATGAATAATAACATTTACATCACCATTATTTACATCAGCATTATATAAATGTCTGTTGTTTTGTTTGTTAAAGTGAACAGAGAATGAATCAGAGAAACAAATGCTTTCATCTCCTCACTCAGCCTGAAAGCTGACGGCTGTTAGCATCAATGCTCAATCAAGTGGCGATCCACTCTTGCCCTCCACCCTTTACCCCAGTCTAAACAAAGGATAGATGGAAAGAGAGGAAATGCATATATTTGTACAGCAGTGGGTCGATAGGTTATTATCATCAGCATATATTAAGCAAAGTGCATGGAAATCACCTGAACAGCTCGATCGTTTGAAAGGCT